GGAGCTTTTGAAGGAAAAGAAGTGGAATATTCTGCTATGTCCGAATCAATCACCTGATCTCAACCCAATTGAGCTTGCATTTCACTTGCTGAAGGTAAAACAAAAAGGTAGAAAGACCCACAAAGAACAACTGAAGACAGCTGCAGTTAGAGCCTGGCAAAGCATAAGAAAGGAGGAAACCCAGTCTTTGATAACGTCCATGGACTCCTGACTTCAGGCAGTCATTACCAGTAAAGAATTCTTAACCAAATATTAAAAATGAACATTTTATTTATGATTATATTCATTTGTCCAATTACTTTTGGTCCCTTGAAAAAAATGGGGGGTGGCTAATCTTAAGAGCTGTAATTCCTAATTTATGAATATATTAATTTGTTCAATTACATTTGAGCCCCTGAAAATGGAGGGACTGTGTATAAAAATGGTTGCAGTTCCTAAAATTTGTACTTGATGTTTATGTTCAACCCTTTGAATTAAAGCTGAAAGTCAGCACTAAAAATTAATTTGGATTGTTCCGTTTCAATGTATTCTGGTGGCATACAGAGCCAAAAGTATGAAAAAAGTGTGTGTGTGTGTATATATATATATATATATATATATATATATATATATATATATATATACGTACATACATACATATACACACACATACATATACACACACTGTATATTGCCAAAAGTATTGGGATGCCTGCCTTTACATTCACATGAACATTAATGGCATCCCAGTCTTAGTCCGAAGGGTTCAATATTGAGCTGGCCCTCCTTTTGCAGCTTCAACTTCTGGAAAGGCTGTCGACAAGGTTTAAGAGTGTGTCTATGGGAATGTTTGACCATTCTTCCAGAATCGCATTAATGAGGTCAGGTACTGATGTCGGACAAGAAGGCCTGGCTCGCAGTTTCCACTCCAATTCATTCCACAGATGTTATATCAGGTTCAGGTCAAAACTCTGTGCAGGCCAGTCAAGTTCCTCCACCCCAAACTCGCTCATCTATGTCTTTATGGACCTTGCTTTGTGCACTGGTGCAAAGTCATGTTGGAACAGGAAGGGGCCATCCCCAAACTGTTTCCACAAAATTGGGAGCATTAAATTGTCCAAAACATCTTGGAATGCTGACACCTTAAGAGTTCCCTTCACTGGATCCAAAGGGCTAAGCCCAACCCCTAAAAAACAACCCACACCACAACCCCCCCTCCACCAAATATTACACTTGGCACAATGCAGTCAGGCAAATACCATTTTCCTGGCAAACACCAAACCCAGACACGTCCATTGGATCGCAATGGACAGAGAAGCGCAATTCGTCACTCCAGAGAATATGTCTCCAGTGCTGTAGAGTCCAGTGGCGGCGTGGTTTACACCACTGCATTCGATGCTTTGCATTGCACTAGGTAATGTAAGGCTTGGATGCAGCTGCTCGGCCATAGAAACCCATTCCATGAAGCTCCCTACACACCATTGTGCTAATCTGAAGGCCACATGAAGTTTGGAGATCTTTAGCTGTTGACTCTGTAGACAGTTGGTGACTTCTGCACACTGTGCGCTTCAGCATGCACTGACCCCACTCTGTCATTTTACGTGGCCTACCACTTTGTGGCTGAGTTGCTGCTGTTCCCAGTTGCGTCCACTTTGTTATAATAACACTAACAGTTGACTGTGGAATATATAGTGGAAGGAAATTTAATGGATGGACTTATTGCACAGGTGGCAATCTATCACGGTACCACGCTTTAATTCACTGAGCTCCTGAGAGCGACCCATTCTTTCACAAATGTTTGTAGAAGCAGTCTGCATGCCTAGGTGCTTGATTTTATACACCTGCGGCCATGGAGGTGATTGGAACACCTGAATCCAATGATTTGGAGGGGTAACACACACACACACACACACACACACACACACACACACACACACACACACACACACACACACACACACACGCTAAATTTGAAAAAGGGAGATTAACCTATTTCACTGCATAAAGCCAATTTTAGTTAGGCCTTGCATATTAAAGGCAGCCACAAAATAAATAAAGATGTGACCTGCCACCAGTTGTGTTTTTCCAATGACAGTCATCCTCATCTCACTAGTTGATGAGTCAATGCCATAGAACAAATATGTAGATCTGAATTCTAGCTGCACACTGGTTCTATATGTAACCCACTAAGCAATGATGCTAGGGCAAAAATGACCCCCAGAAACCATCCATCTTGATAAACAAATTGCAAGTGCCAACTTTAAGATTTATATCCTGACAGGTTCTCCTTTCCACAATCTACAACCTCCACAGCACTGGCGTGTGAAGACTGAAAAAATGCTGGCAACACACTATGACAAAAAAAAAAATTGGACATGCTCCAATGCATATTACCACGGTGATGCAATGCCTGTGCATGGGAGGTACATTGGTGTACCACTGAAAACAAATGGCACTGTAACACATCAATGCACGTAACTCACATTAATGAACATTTCCCTCAATGTCCTGTTCTGAAGAAGTGTAAATTGGACCTTGCAGCCACAAATTTGCCCTGGAACCCACAATATGTAAACAAGACTGACCCTTCAAAACTTTCTGAATAGGTTTCTCAATAATTAGGATAATTTACATCAATTTCTTCTGGGTGTTTTAAGTGCAGCTACAATTTTTCTTCCAGTTCCCTCCCTGTGATTTATGTCTGCACTTCTCCAATTCCGCTGCTCTGTCAACAAAGTGATCCCATCCTCACCACCATAAAAGTGTAAACCAATTGGCTTTATTGTGCCCACAAAACTAACTAGATATGTAAAGATAGAGGAAGATGTAAAAGAAGAAATGGGAGCTAAAAATGCATAAGACCTGGAAACCAGAGTTCCCTCTTGTAGTACACAACATTCATTACATACTAAAAACCAAAATCCTCCCACACTTAATGGAATCCCTACAAAGCCGCTAACACTCAACCTGATACCCAACAGTAGATGATCAATAATAAAAATAGTGCAGCGCTTTTGAGAGGCGCCTTCGGGAAGGACATGGTCAATGCACTCCGATCTACACACCGCACTAATCAAAGTACTTTGATTAGTGCATTGTGTAGATCGGAGTGCATTGACCATGTCCTTCCCGAAGGCGCCTCTCAAAAGGTTCAACGAGGACGTTGGGTATATTCTGCTGAGATCAAGAGCCAGTTTATCCTGTACTTACCTTACTGGATGAGAGGTCCATAGCACAGCAACTGGTGATATCTGCCAAATTGTGGATCAAGATCCTGAGTGATCTTAACGGCGTGTAGGTCCTTCTTCTGGGCCGCAGAGTGGAGGTGAGGGGGCAATTTAGCCACAGGAGGATTGTCACTCACCGTCACTTGAAGTGTGTTGTGTGATCACTTACAATTATTTTACCGCATGGAGTGGAGCACCATTATCCTATACACAGACTCTTTTCACTTGTAATACGGATTTAATACCCACTATTCACATTAGTGAGTGGGATTGGGGACACGTTCCATCTTATGATCCAATTCATTCCATCTTATGATTGGATCATCTTATTGCACCATCTGATGTGTGATTTTTAATTTGTGACTATCATAATTATTGTTATTAATCTGATTTTTATATTTCCTTTTCATTAAGAGGATATTTATATTGCTAAGCGCTGCACTATTTTTATTATTGAACATTCATTACATGACATGAGTGGTATGCAGGTAGAGAGCCTAAACCCTAAAGGTTAGTCTGCAATGTGGATTTCTAGTGGCATGTTCTGTTGTACAGAAACCTGCAATGTAAAGTGGTGGTTATAAATGTGTGTTTTACAGGAGATATACTGTATATGGGGAGCTTTATGTGGGGAAAAAAATATACAGTACTGGGTAAAGGTCTTAGGCAGGTGTGAAAAAAAAATGTAAATTGAGAATGCTTTCAGAAATTGAAGTGTTATTAGTTTATAATTATTTAACAAAATGAAAAGTAAATGAACAGAAAACAATTCGAAATCATATCAATATTTAGTATGGCCACCCTTTGCCTTTAAAACAGCAAGGTACACATGTACACAGTTTTTGAAGGAACTCGGCAGGTAGGTTGTTCCAAACAAGAACTTGAACTAACCACCGACCATCTGTGGATGTAACCTGCCTCAAATACCTCTCTTTAATGTAATCTTAGACAGACTCCATGATGTTGAGATCAGGGCTCTGTGGGGGCCAAACCATCACTTCTAGGATTCCTTGTTGTTCTTTACAGTGAAGATGATATTCGCTACATGTTTGGGGTCATTGTTCTGCTGCAGAAAAATTTTGGGGCCAATCACATGCCTCTCTGATGGTATGGCATGATGGATAAGTATCCGCCTGTATCTCTCAGCATTGAGGACACGATTGATCCTGACCAAATCTCCAACTCCATTTGCAGAAGTGCAGCCCCAAACGTGCAAGAAACCTCTACAATGCTTCACTGTTGCCTTGCAGACACTCATTGTACCGCTCTCCAGTCGTTCACGAACAAACTGCCTATTTGCTACAGCCAAATATTTCACATTTTGAATTATCAGTCCAGAGCACCTGCTGACTTTTTTTTTTGAAGAATTGATGCAGTTTTGAAGGCAAAGGGTGGTCATACAAAATATTTATTGATTTTTCTTCTGTTCATTTACTTTCCATTTTGTTAATAGATAAATAGAAACTATTAACACTTATATTTCTGAAAGCAAACTTCATTCACAGCATTTATTCACATCTGCCCTGCACTTGTGCACAGCACTGTAAATTTCATGGTACTGCATCATCATAAAGAAAACAAAATGTGATTGGTCATTATAGGCAATGTGATTTGACGCAGGACACAAGCTAGTTGTGCAATACATTTAAGACTGAATCTGTTACAAAAAAAAAGCTATTCTGGAAACTCCAGCAGGAAGATCTAGCTACTGGATCCCCACCAGTACTAGCAAAGGCTACTTAGAGTATATAGATTTAGTCATATAGTATTGTACTACAAACACTACAGGAGAAATTAAACAGTAAAAGTTGCATGCTGACACATTTTTGAGTACTTACCTACAGTTATTTGGAAAGGTTCGTCTGTTGGCGAGTGTGGTTCCTCATCTAAAATTGAATCATTATTATCAGAAAAACTTTGCCTCTTCTTTATATGGGCCACCACAAAAAGAAAACACAACCCAATCAAAACAATTAAAGGTCCCATTATTTGCAGAGAAAGAAATCCACAGTTTCTATAAGATGTTCCTGTCCCAGTAACATTTTGGCTTGGGGAAACAGCACCACATCCGGGAATCCAAACACCCAGGACACTAACTAATATTCCACAGGCAACAAACAAAAATCCAAATAATAAAAACTGTATAAACTGGCGGCTTTCACCACAAAGAAAGAAGCTGTCTGGATCAGTCTGATCACCTTCGAATTGTCTTCTTCTGGCTTCAAGCCTGGCTTTAGATCTTGCCATCACAACAGAAGCCAGTCCTATCACGGCAAGGGCAGGTCCTAGTACTTTAAAAGTCAAACTGCAATTGTTGAGATTATCCAGCTGGCAGGTCTGAAAACCAAAGATAGACAGGAGGAAGCCAGCACAGAATAGCATCACTCCAAATATGAACATGAAGAATATCAACCTGGAAGTCCAGGCAGCACTGTTGGATCCAAATGGGAAAGAGAAGAAAGGCTGCATTTTTAAGGATAACGTGTCCAGTCTGCTCCTGGAGAGTGAAGTATTACCTGTTGGAAAAAAAGGAGTTCTACATTAAATGACTTTATTAGAGAAAGATCTTTTCACATATATAATATGAACTACTTTGCCTTGGGGCAGATATTCTTCAATATTATGGAATATGGCGTTCTGAATCAGCTCAGAAAAAAAAGGGTTTTTTTTCCAAGCATTTCGAAAATTGCATGCAAAAACTAAACCTTCAACTGATCCAAGATAAATCATTTCAGAACTTTTTCCACCTTTACTGTAACCTATAAACTGTACAACTCAGTTGAACAACAAATTGAAATCTTTTAGGTGAAGGGAAGTAAAAAAAAAAAAAAAAAAAAACCTAAAATAACGTGGTAGCATACGTGTACACACCCTCTTATAACTGGAGATGTAGCTGTGTTCAGAATTAAGCAATCACATTCAAAATCATGTAAAATAGGAGTCATTACACACGTGCCATCATTTTTTTACATCACAGAAACCTGACATTTGACAGGGGTGTGTAGACTTTTTATATCCACTGTATGGCCAGCTGTACATATTCTGGGAGCATTGCCCATTTTTAAAATGACCATTATAACATCCTATTTATAGCTACAAACCATGGCATCATTAAAATAAACCTGTTTTGAGGGAAGCACAGAGGTTATCAGTCCTGTATTCTCCATCTGAAAAAGTTGCCTGGATATCCTGTTTGCTCTCAAGCTTCAATAATTTTAGGCTCAGGGCCATAATTAGGCATAAAATATGCAAAGCATAAGGCCTCATACACACAGGGTGTTTGCCCAGCACTCCTAAACGCCTTTGCCCCTGGCAGCAGTGTTTTGGCAGTCTAAGGTCCTGATCTCATCAAGGCCAATGCAGCGCTCTTAACTTTGCACTGGAAATGATGGTGCTGAGGGACAGTACACTGCCGATGCGTGGGCCGTCTGCCAGGGATGCTCTCTCGTTTTCCTATGTGTCCTTGTACACACAGTTGTTTACAGGCTGTTGAGTTTACAGTCGTTTTTTTGAACGCACCAAACTTGCGTTCAGGTGTAGATTTTACCTGCATTTCAAATGCCAAACGCTTGTAAACGTGGTTAACCGCATTTATAAGCATTTGCATTTAGAAGCGGTTTTTAACTGTTCCATGCCCAGATGCTGTCCAGAGTCTTTTTTCATCATCAGAAATGCATGCAAACTGTTTTCCATGTATTCAAACGGACCCAGTACACCAGCGCAGTCAGTTCTACGTTTCCTGTGAAGGAAAAAAATGGTAGAACATGCCGCATTATGCTCATGATGGGATCCATAGTGAATACAACCAGAAAAGACAGGTAATCTCAATACATACTGCTCTCTCTGCTTCTGCTCTATTCCTCTCAAAATGTCTGAAACAGTTCATTTTTTTACTATTTTTCAGTGCATTCTGGGCATTTGGGAAGGTCTCCTGAGGTTATCTTAAAAATGCTTCTAAACGCAAAACGCACATAAATGTGATATGAAAAACGCGGCTAAACTGGCGGTTTTTAAACTACGTTTTCTAGCAGTCAGTTTCCATTGTTCAAAAGAGTTTTCCAAATGCCCCATGTACATGAGCCCTTAAACAAGATGTGTGCTCTTTAGTTTTAAAGCAGAAAGTCCCATCTTTCAGACTGAAATCAAAGCAGTCTAATACTAGGCAAGTTAAAAAAAATGAAATGTATATTCCCTTGGTTTTACAATCCTGAAAACACAGAAAGGCGATGTTGGTGAGGGCTGCGACAGACCATAGGACAATGAACAAATGAGAATGAGGGAAAGAAAAAGTAGGAGTTACACAATAATCAGATTTTCCTTTTTAAAAGTGGATTATGTTGCTATGGGCATTAAAGGCTAAAAAATAAACCGGTAAAAGCAGCAATTGTCAATGTTTTTGTCACACCATCTATTTGCAACAGCACATGTTAAGTGTGTTGGTGTGAGATTGATAGATGTGTGTTTCAACGCAGCCCAACATGAGTCAATGCACTAATATGCCTTGTGGTGGAGCCTAAAAATGCTGCATGCACCACACCTGGGAAAACATCCATATATTAAAGAAGAACTATAGGCAAAACATTTTCCAGACGCCAACATGGCAACATACATGTGATATAGCTCCACCTCAGGACTTGTGTATATCCATAAAAGTCTGACTGAGAGCAATCTCCCCCATTCTCCTTTTTGTCCTCAAGATCTACAACAACCACAAGACTGTGATGTTGCGATAAGTCCCTACCTGCCGACTGAGTGGTAGTCTGTCTGGGTTCAGCCTCTCCCAGGCGCAGTCCTGCATCTTAGGTTGCTAAATGCACCAACAAGGTGGGGAGCCTCCTCTGGTGGTCTTCTGGGACTGAGGAGTTCTATAACCAGAGACATCAGAACCTCATGTGCTGCACCTGAGCTGGTGCTTGGATGCTGTAGTCCATGCTGCATGTTTTCTCTGCACACCTGAGCAGGATCATGGTGCTGGAGTAATGCAGGCCATAGACGGTTCAAACATCGGCCAATTTTTCGTCCGAAAAACGAAACATCGTTCATTCTGTAATCCGATGTTGCCACCAATGATTTCGAAAATCTGCCATTTTTCATGGATTTTCCAGCATGACTGACAAACGAAATGAGGAGGAACCACGAAAATCAGCCGATGTCATTGCCCCACTAACAGTGCCGATTATTCTTTCGGATGAAAAAAATCAGCCGATAAACGAACCGTCTATGGCCTGCATTAGTGCTGCCTTTTTCTTTTCTCCCACAGTTTAGCCCTCCCTGTTTAGCTAATTATCACATGTATGCTGCCATGTTGGCGTCAGGAAAACGGAAAATTGTATCATACTTACTGTAATTTTCCTTTCCTGACGCCAATCCATGGCAGCATACGAACCCTCCCTTGTTTGATCTTGTTGTACAGAGAATGGGAGAGGTTGCTCTCAGTCAGACTTTTATAGATCCAGGTCCTGTGGGTGGATATAGGGGCGGAGCTATATAACTTGCATGCTGCCATGGATTGGCGTCAGGAAAGGAAAATTACAATAAGTATAATACAATTTTCTGGGTTTTTGCCATTTTCGATACAGTAAGGGAGGGTTATAAACCCTGTCAGTTTAATTTTAGCCATCATTATCACATTGGGGAGGATTTACCTTCACTTCCTGTCCCATAGCCAAAACAGGAAGCAAGAGATAATACCCTGCAAATTAAAAAGGATAAGTTCACCTTTTTTAAAAAAAATTATAAATGCACATCTTTTTACAGGTAAAAAAATTTGCATTTTTTTTTTTTTTTTGGAGCCTGTAAAGCCTTGCATCCATGATCAGCAAACCGTGGGTGCTATGCAGGACTCCTGAAGACTTGTCAGTGTATCTGTCTGCTTGTACCTCATTCAGACAAGCAGAGACACACTGACAGGAAAAGAGAATGAACTACCACACCATTCACTGAGAACTACAAGCCAATAGCTGCAGAGGCTTCTGGTACTTGTAGTTTGCCATTCACAGAACTCTGTAAAAAAATAAATAAATAAATAAAAAACGTAGGTGGGCAGAGCCCAGCTCTGCCGCATTTTTTTTCCCTTTAAATAGTGACAGCTAGCGGGGGAAGAAGATCCCCACTAGCTGTCACTAGATGCAGACGGGTGGGATATGTACCATGTTCCCAAAGTCGAGCTTCTCCTCTAAGGCACAGGTGTCAAAATGCAGCCCTCCAGCTGTCAAGGAACTACAAGTTCCATCATGCCTCTGCCCTTGGAAATCATGCTTGTAATTGTCAGCCTTGCAATGCCTCCTGGGATTTGTAGTTCTGCAACAGCTGGAGGGCCACAGTTTGACACTCCTGCTTTAAGGAAATTTATTGGTGACCCCCTGGTGACCAGAACCAGTGTCCCCATCTAAAGATTTCCCCTCCATTACATTTCTGGGGACAACCCATAATTAGGGATTTTCATTTACTTTCACTTTCAATGATAAACAGGAAAAATAGAGAAGGTGAATCTGCCTAATGGGAACATAGACAACAAGAAAAACCTAATAGGTGTTCTAATCCTTCTCCACTCAATCCAAAACTAAAAAACAATAACAAGCGCTGCTGCATATTATGGTAACATGTGCATTATAACAAGCCAAGTAACTTCAGGGAAGAATACCTCACGTACTTAGAAAAGACATTATTCATCCAGAATAAAAAGTCATACTGTTCAGTCTCTTGTGGGAAACAGGACCCTCTGGGGTTTCTTTCTCCTACACTAATAGGTGGTCTCGACCGGTTATAATGTTTTATATTGGGCAACTCTTCACCATTACTGCACAGTATCTGGGGTCATATCCTTCCTCAAAACTTTGGGTCTGTGTTATAATTCTGGAGAGAGTCCTGAGCAGCGATTTTGTAAGATTTCCATTTGCTATGACATTGGGACAATGGTACCGGCTTCCCTCTTTGTTTGCACTGTTGATACTCTTTTAAAGCAGAGTTCCACCCAAAAGTGGAAGCTCCTCTCGTTTGCCTCCTCCCCCTCTCCACTGCCATATTTGACACCTTTTGGAGTTCTGACAGGTACCCGCTCCCACTTCTGGCTCAGTTCGCCGTGGCCACCTCCTTCCTCCCACAGTCTCCTGGGAACCTTAACAGGTCCCAGAAGATTGCCGGGCCAGTCAGGATGTGCAGTGCGACTCGCGCATGCGCAGTGAGCACCCAGCTGTGAAGCCACAAGCTGTCACAGCCTGGTGCCTGCAGTTGAGATGTCGGAACCATGGAGAGAAGGAGAGAAGGGACTGTGCGGGTGAGCACATCGCTGGACCTGGGACAGGTGTGTGTTTATTAAAAGTCAGCAGCTACAGTTTTTGTAGCTGCTGAACTGTAATAAACATAAAAACATCTGAAACTCCGCTATAATAAAACCTTAA